TTTATTGACTTCCTCTGTTCTCCTATTCTTTCTAATACCTCTTCATTTCTAACCTTTACTACCCACGTTATCCTCATCATCCGCTTATAACACCACATTTCGAAAGCTTCTAACCTTTTCTTTTTCGCCGCGCTCACTGTCCATGTTTCGCACCCGTACAACGCCGTGCTCCAAACATACACCTTTAACAACCTTTTTCGAATTTCTAAATTAACCGTTCGCGGGAATAGAAATGATTTCTTTTTATTAAAGGCGACACGACCCTGTGCTATCCTCTGCTTTATATCCCTACTACTCCTTCCGTCCTAACTCTGACTTCCTAGATATCTAAAATCAGCCACTTGTAATTTTTTGTCTCCTATCTTTATATTCGCTCTTTCCCTACTTTTTCTTCCCTTGCACACCAGTATTTGTGTTTTACCTTTATTTATTTTCATACAGAACTGATCTGTCAGTACCGCTTCCATTTTATTTAAAGCTATCTCTAGATCGTCCTTACTAGATGCTAATACTGCTATATCATCTGCAAATCTAAGCATACTAATTTTTGTCCCTGTATATCTATCCTTACAGTTGTACTGTCTTTAATTTTGTTGATGGCGTCTTCGATGTGTAGATTAAAAAGTAGCGGTGACAGTGTGCATCCCTGTCTGACTCCCTTCCTAATATTTACTTCTCTACGTTGCATCCCTAGCTCTAAAACTGCCTGTTGCTCTTTATACGAACTAAGTATCACTCTTCTATCTTTGTAACTCATCCCTACATTTTTAAGTATATTTAACATCTTGTCCCATTTAATATTGCAAAAGTTTTTTCTAAATCCACAAATCGTACGCACTCTTTCCTTTTTCTATCGTTTTCTCTATTGTTACCCGTAAAGCTAGAATGGCCTCCCGCGTTCTTCCGCCCTTTTTTCCATCCTCCTCTGTGCAATTCTAGTTAAGAATTTTTGACGCATGGGAAATTAAGCTAATTGTTCTAAATGTCTCTTTTTAGGCAATGTTACTACTACGTTCCGTTTGTAATCCTCTGGGACTTTCCCCGTCTATTAAATGTGACAAACTAGCTTAAACATACGATCTCTAACCTCTTGTCCTGCATGCTTTAGAATTTCCCCCTGTATCACATCTACATCTGGCGCCTTACTATTTTTTAAGTTCTTTAATGCTACATCGAACTCTTCTCTCATTATGGGATAACCAAGCTCAACTATTTCCACACTATCTTCCTTCTCTAATATATCTCCTAATTCATGGCCTGCGTGTAGGTTCTCTAAATATTCTTTCCACCTATCTGCCTTTTCCTATCAAAATGGCCCCTGCCTCATTTTATATATTATTACTACTGTATCCTACCTCTCTAAAATTTCTTTTAATTATATTATACGCTTCATCTGTTTTACCTACTTCAAACTTTTCTTCTACTTCTTTACACATACTATGAATCCACTGTTCCTTAGCTGCCCTACACTTCCTAATTATTTCCCACTTTATAGCTTTATATCTTTTTTGCCCTTCTTCGTCCGTCCTGTTTTGTATTTCCTCCTTTCGTCTATTAATCCTACAATCTTATTTGTTATCCAGGGTTTCCTACTTTCGTTTTGTTTATGACCTAGTATATCTGTAGCTGCTGACTTTAGGCACGTTTTATTGCAGTTCCATTCTGTCTCTATGTTCCCGTCATTCATTTCTCCCGCCGCCTTTAGTATTTCGTCTGTCCTTTTATCTAGCCTATCACGCGTTTCGTTACATTTTAGCTTTTCTAAGTGGAGACGTCTCCTACCTTCTCTCTTTTTCAGAATTTTCAATTTAAGATTGGTCTTCATAACTACTAAGTTATGATCGCTATCTATATATGCTCCTGGATAATTCCTACAGTCCTTCACATGATTTTTAAATCATTGCCTAACAAGTATGTAATCTAACTGATATCTCCCTAAATCACCTGGCTTCTTCCACGTATAGCTCCTCCTAATGTGATGGCTGAATAAAGTATCCGCGACGGTTAAATTATGTTTATAGCAAAATTCTATCAGCCTATCTCCCCTATCATTTCTATTGCCTAATCCAAAATAACCTGGTATTGCACCCACTTTGCCTTCACCTATTACTGCATTGAAATCTCCTAGAACTATTATGTTTTCCTGTCCTCTCACTAAACTTAACACATCTTCTATATCTGCATAAACCGCTTCTATGTCTTCATCACTGTAGGCATGTAGACCTGCACTAATACCGTTCTTAGTTGCTTTGAGTATAATTTAACCGTAACTATCTTATCGCTTTTTTGTAAATAACTTTCTACACTCTGCCCTACTTTCCTACGCATTACAATTCCTACCCCGAATTACCTTCTACCGATTCTGTATGTATTACCCTAAAGTCTCCACTCCAGAAGTCTCCAGCTTCGGGCCTAATACCTACTATATCTAATTCTAATCTATGCATCTCTACTTTTAAATTGTCTAATTTTCCTACTTGTCTCATTGTTCTAACATTCCACGCTCCGACTTGTGAAATATTGCACCTATCCCTATTGCACTTATTGATGACATCCCTCCAGGGACTCCCCGCTCGGACATCCGAATGGGGACTAGCTTACGTCCGGAGTGCTTTACCCCAGACGACGTCATCATTTAATTTTTGCGTACGTTGTACTCGGGATCATAATGTGGTGATTTCCCGTTGCCTTCCACATCGCAGTATTGTGCATCAGGGTGCCATACCGATCCTCGTGATCTCTGCCACCCTGAGTACTGAAAGAGCTGCTGCCCTCTTTCAGGGACTTGTCTTAGTCTGGTTTCTCTTTAAGAACCCCTCCGTTATGGTTGAACCTATGGTCCGGCTCCCTAAATTATCGAAACTCGTAAACCGATCCACCAACTCTAGTTTGTACAAGAGTTTCGTCAAGGTTCAAGTCCCGTCGGATCGGATCAATATGTTTAAGTAATGTTTTATTCTTGCATTTTAATTCTTCATTTAATTCCAGTAGTTTTTTAATCTTTGATTCTTATTTCTAATCTGATCAGCGAAGTCTACTATATTATACTCAATATATTCGTCATCTCGCCTTGGTGTTCGTTATTGTGCTTTATCTTTTCATGTTAATTTTTGCAAAATTCTTTTGCTCCATTTTTTCGTACTCTTCTTTCAATCTATAAAAATTTGAGATTTGAGAGTTGCACTAATTTTATTTCTATAAACACCTTGGATGTTGAAGCATTCGGTAAGGCAGAATTTTCATACATTCGTAGTTCGGACCAAGAAGGGGTTTGAATGGCCTGAAGACATTTCCATTATAAGCAATATGTGCCTAACATTTAGAGTATTCATTAGCGAAAGCTTTTATATATTCGTTTTAAAATATAAGTCACAAAAAAGTGTTCTGTATTTTTTAACCACAGAAATGTTTAGTTTCCAGAATATAGCATTTAGGAAACAGTTCTGATACTTGTAATTTTCATCATCATCATCATCATAAGGTCGTCAGTCCTAAGACTGGTTGTAGACGTACCTCCACTCACGAGCTAAACTTCGCATTTCCCTAAAACTAGAACAACCAACATCCTTAACTATTTGCGAACAGTAATCTAACCTAGGTCTACCGCTTCTAACTCCTGTTTCTGCTTCTAATAAGTCTCTGACTAGACGTTCATGCCTGAGAAGGTGTCCTACCAACCTATCTCGCCTATTTATTATTGACTTCCATAGAGTCCACTGTTTTCCTATTCTTTATAATACCTCTTCATTTCTAACCTTTTCTACCAACGTTATCCTCATCATTCGCTTATAACACCACATTTTGAAGACTTTTCTTTTCCGCCGCGCTCACTGTCCATGTTTTGCACCCGTACAACGCCAAAAATACACCTTTAACAACCTTTTTCGAATTTCTAAATTAACCGTTCGCGGGTATATAAGTGACTTCTTTTTAGTAAAGGCGACACGACCCTGCGCTATCCTCTGCTTTATATCCCTACTACTCCTTCCGTCCTGACTTATCTGACTCCCTAGNAGCTACTTATTATCTCGTTTCTGATAACACTAATGGTATGACTTATTGCTAGTATAAATAACACAGCTTTGCTTTATTAAGTTCATTAGCAGTTTATCCCTGGAACAAGCAACAATACTATATATGTCAACGGAAATGGAAAGTGCGTGTTGGATATCGCGAATGCTCACACCGCTGGATAAGCAGCGATGACTGGAGAGGTGCAAAGATTTTTGGTCTAGACCTGGCTCTCAGTGACTTTTCGTTTTTTCAAATTTAAAAGAGAAATTACGGGGACGAGGATTTTGAGAGGTTTTATATTTAAGATGTAAAAAGTGGATCTTACTTGATGGAAATTAAATTGAAATATAAATAATACAAAACTATACTTTTCATTCAGTAAGTATTTTAGGCTGCAAACTTATTAGCTGCCTCTCGTAGATATATAATTCGTATACATACAATATCTAAAAAGCAAACCTACATTTTGGACAGCGGGCCCTATGGATTCGTCATTGACCGATTTACGTTGTCCTTTTCTTTTAAGGAAGTTTCGAAATTAATAAAACAAAGATAAACTTAAATAATGTAAAATAAATTAAAAACTATTAATTATTATATTTTCGTTGGGTAAAGAAAAGGCGACTCTGATAAACCGTCTGGCCCTAGGCTCAGTTGCACCTTCTTGAGGAGTATGTAAGAGCAGATATTTTCTTGGACTGAACTTAAAAGTATGTATTTATTTATTTAAATCTATTTTACAAAATACTGCTAAAAATATTTGTACTGAGTAACGGCCAACTTATCTGGGGGCACCTGTCAAGACGAGCTAAGAGAAGCCCAAGGGCACTACCTACCTTTTCTAGAAACGCTTAGATTGCTTATCGATAGGTAGTCAGAAAAACAAAACAAATCATGCGGATGTTATGCATATCCACTTACTATATATTTAAGTCAAACAAAAAACATAGGTATATATAGATAATTACAGTTATTTATATTTAATATTGACATTATATAATTATTTGTACATCAGTCCTTGTGATTTTTTCTATAATATATAAGTACTACTCCTCTGCAACATGTTTTTTACTGTTAATATTAAAATAGAGAAGGAATGTTAACATAAATAACATAAAATGTATATACATGTTAATACAACACTAAAACTCTAAATTTCCCATAAAACGTTTCTATTTATGTCAATTTCACAAAATTCCAGCTGATTTTCTCGTATTACATATGTGTATGTCTATTTTACGTGTAAGGAAATACTAAAAAATAATACTTTCAATACATTCTTTTAGAAAAAACGTACGTACATTTCATGTGTGGTAGTAGATATATATATGCATGTATAATAGATACTGATTACATTATTATATATAGACATACCTATAGTAGGACACTAGTACATACGATTTGCCGGCACATAATATAAAAATAATTCTAATAAAATAAATGTGCTGGAATTTTGACGCAGAGGTATAAGGAAAAGTGTATATATAAACTTGTCTGTATATACATATATAATTATAAGAAAAAGTACAACCTGTATGTTTTTAATTATTGTTATAATAAACTATAACAACAACAACAAATGTTTGAGAAAGTAAAATTGTCTTGCTTTCTCGCTGTGTTAAATTTAATGATGGAATCCAAGGTCCTTCTAGAAGGATAGAAACGGTCAGTACTTTACAAATTATGTCTTTTTAAGTCTTCGGATCCTTCTATTGGGACTTAGAGTCTTGTTGTTGTTCTATTTCAAGCTTTTCAACCAATTTTTTGTGAGCAGTGTACTACAATTTCTCAGAATTTAGAATCTAGACTGGCATAATAATTATGGTACTAAATAATTTAGTAATAAAAATGATATGTGCCAGACAACGCATTTCTATTTTGACTTAATTAAAAAAATAACGATAATAATTGAAGTGTATCGCTGTTTCGAAGTTTTATTCCACATACTGCTGGCAGAAGTAGGATGCCCTCGATTTTTTATCAGAAAGAAGATCAATTTCCCTGTACAAACGTACTTCCAGAAGTGCTTCCAAGAAAACACCTGCTTGTACGTCATATCATTAACAGCATACGTATTGTACTTCTACAATATTGTAATATACCTGACACTGTTTTATTTGCCTGAAGGGATTTAGAAATAGAGCGTAATAGTGAAGATGTCAAAACTGCAATTTTTGCGCAACCCGAAATTTTTAATGAGCATTCCCACCACAGGTGTCCCTATATGTTTTGTCCAGCTATCAACGAGAGTTGTCAATTGTTAAATTAAAATATGATAATGCCCATTTGTATAAAAAAATCACCTTGAATTAATAACAATGTAGGTAGTACCTAACTCTATTATAAATGATGTTTAACGATATCAGTTAAGCGCAACTTAAACAGGCATAAGAATCATTCTCCAGTTCATAATTTAGCAATTTTCGTTTACAGCTAGACAATATACATATACTGGAGACATCTGCGGTGGAAATTCGCACTAAAAGTTTCGGGGTACCTATGCCAAAACGGCAGTTCTGTTTTCTTTATGTAATTCTAGACACATAAACTACATTTGAATATTGTTACGTAAATTCCTTCTATATTTATCTATTTACACAAGTTTATTATAGGAAGTATTAGGTACAAAAATATAACGACTAAGGCAAGCATTTCAATCTTAAATAGCAGCAATAATTTAAATATCTAATAATGTTTTTGAATGCAACATTTGTTGTTCATTAAAAGACGAACATGATTTATAAGCTATAGCCGCTGCGATACCTTAACCAGTATAGGAAATTGTACAAACACCGTTTTTAATTAACTGGCTAGACGGATATAAATTAGGCATGTGTACCCATTTTAAAATTAAAAATTAAAATGAAAATAAAAAAAGAATGTAAGGGAGGCGAACATAGCATCAGCAGAAAGTTTATCTATTGTACCTTAAGCAAATTAAATTTACTTGGTACATTTACTTAAATAAAATTTTGAAAAAATACAAGTTCTTTTAACAACACGAAAGGCTTCAAGTCATCTATTACATCATCTTAGTCTATTATTAGAAAGATAGAGGTTGTCTATTAACTATTATAACTACGCACGTAATGTTTTACAAAATATGTATTTCAACTGATGCATGTAGATGTAAACACGCTGTAAAACGATTTGTATTACATATGTAATTTATCTTATGTGATTAGAAACGCTCTAAGCAAATATTAAGTTTTAACATGGACAATATTGCGATAAGAGACCGACTTTTATAGTAAAAGTGACACTTAGTCTTTGTTATATATTAATTTTTATCTGCGAATGAGTGAAATAAAAGGTCCTACATTTGCAGTCCTTGTTCTCTATCACAGATGTAATCTCTGCAATACATTCAGACAATGAAAAGAACCGTATTCTCTTGACATATCATTTCGAAATGCTGATGGAATTTAATGCACTTTAAAATAAACAAACATTGAAAAAAATATATAAAACTTTCGTTAAAGGTAATTGCACAAAAAAAGCATGCCACTTTTCAAAGGGGGGATACACTTTTGAAAGATAGAATGCACTCTCTGAGAAAATAATTTTCCATTTTCTCTACTCGGTAAATTGGATGCGCGCTGTTTTACTGCGCAGCGTACGACTGAGCATAGTGACGCTATAGGAATGACGCTATACATTAAACAAGCCACGTAATTACTTTTTAGGTATATCTCTAGTCTTCTCGCGTACATCAAATTTCGGTTGACGCTATTACAATATACAAATTATACAAAAACAAGGATAAGTGGGTCGAGCAATGTTTTAAATTGACACTTGCAGTTAATTTGGGAGTTGGAATTAAATGCACTTTAAAATACACTAAAGTGATATTAAAATGAAAGGAATTAATATCAAAAAAGGATTTGAAGCATTCGTTACAGGTAATACACATTAAAAATACATTTCATTGTTGAAAGACAGAATGCACTTTGAGAAAAAAAATCCACTTTAAAGAAAATTTGTCCATTCTGAAATTTACCATAATAGACAGAGGTGGTTGTGGCACTACATGAAAAAGTTTTTCTTGCATGAATAAAGAATAGATCGCACATTAAAATGTAGGTAATAACCAAGACGATAAATAAATGATGTTTGCAGCTTGGACTGGACATTTACTAGACTGTCCACATGCTTGTCTCAACCTTCAATAATGTGTGTGTAAATTTTAGTGAAATAATATGTTTGTTCTTCTCTTCTTTATCTTCTCTTTTTTATTAAATGTTCCTAATTCTCAAAGCGATTTTCCAGTTTTATAATTTGTCCACACATATTTAAAATAATTGTCGAAATTCCAATAATTTATTTAATTAATCATTTCAAAATGCAAACGATCCATTTTAAAGTTGGTAATAATAAAGCTAAACCTTATCGTTTTAATGTACGAACCATCCATTTTCAAATGTTAATGTTGAAAGTAATATTTTCAAACTGCAAACAATTTATTTTCAATGTGCAAGTGGCAAAACTTAATGTTTTTTTTGTCAAATGCAATTATATATTTCCCTTAACTAAATATATCAAATAAAAGCATTTTTAATTTTAAAATTTCTGGCATTTGATTATTTTGAATTAGAAAGCATTTGTAATTGTTCCTTAAAAAATTATTAAACGTGTTTTCAGGGAAAAGAATGGAAAAAGTATAAGCTATTGGGTAATTATAAAAATTCGTTGAAAATTTTGAAGGCAGCCAACTTCTTTTATATACCCTTCAAATAGTAAGCTATCACATTATTTTTGATGATATAACCATTTTTATGTGCATATGGTTTAAACAGCGCTAGCTTTCATTTTACATTGTTTTCTCTTCTTATCAAATATTGCATTCCTATATTGTTAACATTCTTAAATGTCTCTTAACAAATATTATCAGCATTCTCAATGATTATATCCTGCATTTCGGCTGTCGATAAAAAATATCTTTTTTCTAAAATCTAATTTTCAGTCTTAAATGAAAATATTTATATTTACAATTAGGTATACCGATAAGAAGAGTATTATATACTTTAACGGTTTCATTTAAAAATAAAAGTCAAATGCAATAACATTTGAGTCTATTTTTTGGCTAAGTTGTTGGTAAACTTTTACATAGCCGATTACTTAAATAATATTAAATAAAACTATAAACAACTTACGACGTTTTCTTAAGAACCGACAACTGCTGCGTTAAGTTGTCTTCGTTGGTGACAATCCTTTTTCTCATTGGAGATTTTAATTCGTTACTTTTGTAACTCTGTAACAACAATAAAAGAAAAAACTAAAACAAATCTAAAAAGAGGAACCAAATTTATAGAAGTATATCACTGCGTTTTGTGAATTTCAGCATCAAACCATAAGTATTGGCAATATTCCATTTCTATAAATGCTTTAAATGAATTGGATGTAGATATGTATAAGAAACGTAAGATAATGACGGACGCACCGACGGCAACTGGTAGTTGTATGAATTTATATGGAAAATAATTTTCTAACGAATGAAAATTACGATATGTGTTGATTTAATATCGTATTGATTAATTTAGCTGCCGATGTCAGATTAATTTAAATTTTTTAGGAGACCTAGTCACGAAATTCAAAGGTGAACTCTATCAATATTGTAGGATAGGATTTCTTTTTTTAGATAATAACGGTCACAACACGTATGTAAGAATGACGTAAAAAATCAATAGATTCGCTTATTATCAGAGCTCTATTTTTACATTCAACGTAGCTATAAGAAAATCAAGTAGCAATAGCAATGTTGAAGTTAGTCTTAGACGAAAGGGTTTTGGCTTACCTTTTCTAGTTGTTTCTCCATATCTAACATACGTTTTATGGTATCATAAACCGAAGGTGCTCTTTTCTTATCGTTTTTGTGTGTAACAACTGAATTTGTAGACTGAGCTATGAATCCTTGCCAATTAGAAGAAGCCGGTCTTGCTAATACCTCTTCTTTTTGTCCTTGTACATACTTATGTTGAGTAGACTGAGTGGGGGTTACGCTTAATGCTGCACCCGAAGAAAACACTCTGTTTTTTTCAGGCTTTGCAAATTCGTCATCGGATGTAGAATCAGCGTATTTTCGCGATACCGAATTTCGTTTAATTTGTTTGGCAAAATTGTCAAATTTCCGATCTTTCATTGATCCTCTCGTATTGCTCTCAGACTTTAACCAATTGTAACGTTCTTCGGGAGAAATGTTGCTGTTGACTTTTTGTTTGCTAAATCGTTCTTGAGGATCGGCTAATTGTTTTAATTCTTTCACATCTTCATCCTCCTGGTGGGAATCAGTATTAACGAGAGGTATGTCCTTAAGATCTCCCCACCTCTCCTTCGAATCTTCAGAATTATAATCAATGTTTGGGGTCTGCTCATAATAAGTTTTTGGTGCTTGCAATGAATCCTTGTACATCTGCGACATTATTAAGTTTTGAAGAAAGGCTGCGTTGACATCATCAAAATTGCCCTCTGCATCGTTATCGTTTTCGTAAAGAACTTCTTGTCCTATCGGCTGGGATCTTTCTCTCTCTTCTCTTTCGGCTTCTTGAATCATTTCATCTTCGAGATTTTCAAAAGGCTCTCCATTTCGATTATAACCGTAGTAGCCGTAATTTGATGGTCGTATCACAGGGCTTTCTCCATAATAATAAGGCATAACAGCTTGATATACTTCGTATCTGGAAGTTCGCGGAGGTGGATAATATACAGGGTAAGAGGAAGATGAATCTTGGGGATAATAGTACTCTTCTGCAAATTCCTGATTAGGAGAATATGATGGATACATTTCGTAGTTAGAAGGATAACGTTCGGTACGAAGAAATTGATAATATGGAGCGGGTACGTTCCATGATGGGTTGTTTATCCTAGGAGCGGTACTTGCATGATTATACCTTTTCGTACCATACATCGTGTACGTTAAGCAGGGAGAGAAAAACAAGAAGAGTACCACGTATAACAGCTTCAGCGATAGTGACAAATTCTGTAAAAATATTAAATAATAAATATTAATAAAAAATATCTTTGTCGATGTTATGCCAGAAAAATAAAGCTCTTAATTGTTGTGGTTGTAAATGGTTATATGTGCGTTAAATTTTAGAACAAAATGAAGAAATAAAGGAAAATAAATATAAGTATCTTACCATTGTTCTATTTTTAGTGAAGCAGAACGATGCAAACATGCACAAGTACACACTTATTAATTGATTAATCCTGGTAACACGTTTTTAGCACACAGCTCACTGAAACCTGTAGGACTCTATGACGAAAATGCAGTCCTGTGAATAGAGCTTCTATTTATAACAAAAATTTCCCCTGGTTTCTCACCCACACGGTTATCAATGAATTTGAAGCGAGTGGGGAGAAAATTCTAAATGCGACAATCAAATCCTATTGGCTGTGAATTTTCCGTGGAAATTTTCATTGGTCCTAGTAAGGACCGTTATTGATCCTAATAGAGCGTGTGCTCATGAAACAGCTTTTCTGATCCTTTTCATCGCATTCACGTTTCCTAACTCTTCTGTCATATATATACTTATGTATCTGTTTATATGTGTATGTATACTATGTAATAAAACAGATTTTTTATTTACCCATATAAAAGTACTAGTTTTAATGTTTACTTTCTAAACTTTTTATTATTAGATCAAACATCAAAATCAACATCTCTTAATAGAAAAGATGCAGAACAGAAAAGCAAAGGCCTCCGTTTTTTGAAATATTAGCAAAAGCTATTTTTAGCTCCTTCATAATATTACATATCTGTATCTGTATGTGATAGGTATCCATGTGAATACGCATATACATCTTTTGTTAATTATATGGGTACATATACAAATGCACATATCAGTTTTAAATCAAAACAGTTATACCTCACGTACCTGTCTTACGGATACTGTTACAACTTATGGAAGGGTAGGTGATGCTTTTCGTTACCACGATAATTGGTGATATTGCCCGTTACCATAAAATTTACAATAGTTGTCAAATATCAACAATGCCTTTTTTCTAATATAAATACAGGGAAACTGAAAAAAGAGTCTCTCTTCTGCGATAAAAATTCTATGTAGGTATATTTTAAAATTAATTGACATCACTCGATGAACTAAGCTGGAACCGATTGCGAAGTAAGTAAAAAGTTAGAAAACTCAAGTAATTTTCAGTTTTAGGATTTGTTGATTTATTCATATTTTGGTTATAAAGCCTAGCCTAGTCTAACTTAACCTATCCAATTCCTTAATGATATGAAAATGCTTATTGTTAATGTTCGTCAATTTGCAACAAAAAAATCTTAATTGATCTGCAGAAATTTCAGTATCTTATAGTTTTGAAACGATTTGTGTGAATAGGTAATGTCACATACAAATGTTTAATTAATAACGAAGTGCCTGTTCATTTGCCACTATTTATTTTCAAAAAATTAACTGAAGAAACTATTTTAATTTATATATATTCNATAGAAAATTGATATTTTGAAATTTTTTTGTTTATTTCATGGTTTAAAAGAAAGAATTTCTAATTGTATTAAAACATTATTTCACTTATTTAAATGAATAAATAACAACAAATCAACAATCCAGTACATTTCCTTTGAACTATTTAGCATACGATTCTTTTTTGATAATTTGTGACGAATCGGTGGTCGCCATTCAAGAAAATTTTTAAGTACGGAATATAATCTACAAACAAACAATGTAATATACAACTAACTAACTGCATTCAAACAATTCGCAGATCGTCCTGTTGGCGATGCGAGTGCGTGGGAGACAAGGAGTTCGATTTTTGGCAACACAATTTATGAATGAGGCTAATACGGCAACACATAAAAAGTAAGCCAATTTATATGAAAGGTCAATAAATATATATTTGTGAATATATATGTATAAATACATACTTTGAGGAGAAATATGCAATATTTATAAAATGACGTGGGTAGTATTCTAAGATTAAACATTTAATATTTCTTAGATATTGCTTATCGATAGGTAGTCAGAAAAACAAAACAAATCATGCGGATGTTATGCATATCCACTTACTATATATTAGAAATAGCATTATAATGGGGCACAATATTTTTTTTTTATAATTCTCTCCCATAAGCTCTGTGATATATATTTACGTCACAACCGATGCTCTGTTGCTATCGACGCCACAGTCGTTGACGCTAATTCAGACCCAGCCGGAGCGTGCTCAATCGAGGAGAGAGGGTTAGAATGGGGATGAAACTGGTGAAACGAACGTGGGAATATTGTTGCAGGCAATGACGTCAGTTGATGCGACGTCGCTAACAAAATTGCGTATGCTTAAAACGTTTCATTCTATCAATATCCTACGTGATCTAGGTGCATATGTATAATAACGTAACAGATGCCTTATGGAATGGTTCTTTTGAAAGTAATCAATCTTGAGACTCCTTCTGCGAAGAGATTTTGTATTGAATTCGGTGGCATAGCAATAACTCCAGATATATTCTGTAATAATTGACTAGAGTTCTTACGTTATTGAAAATTTAGAAAACGAATGAACGAAAAATTTTATGTGTAATATATAAATAGTAATGAAAACATCTATGAAATACATTCTAGGGGCCGGTGATATTTTGATTTGACGGAACAGCCGAGTTGTTAACGGAAGTTAGCACAATATAAAGACAAACCGAACAATTTCAAAAACACATTTTGCACTAACTATGCGATCAATATGGTAATAGCAATAAATGACAACGAAGATAATTATTAGTGGGAAAACTTACATTTCGTCTAATGAGGTGCCGAAGGAGACAGTACCGGCAAAAGTACCACCTTTTCAAGGATTTGTAACTGTAAAACCATAACGTTATATCAAAGGTTGTTGTCGTAATTATCGAAATTTTTAACGTTCGTTTGACTGATGTGAAACTATTGGGAAAACCTGCAATATAGCACTTCAGAGGTAGATCTTCACCTACATTAACATTACTTTGCAATGAAAGCTAACCGTTTTATATATGTAAAAAATAGGAAAATTAGAGAAAAAAGTAAACTAATAGAAGCTTGGATGAAAGCAGTTAGTATCAAAGAAGTGAATTCCGGAATGAAAATTTGTTCATGTCAGCAAATATTTACAATCAGTCATAACCTTAATATTTAAAACTAGAATCATCCTGAAAGTGAGAAATTATTATTTATTCCTTTGTAATTATTTTAACACAATACTAATGATACGATATAACTATTTTGAGGTTAAAAACCTACCTGGTGCAATACAACGAAGTTGCAATAATGAGTTTGCAACGCGGACTTAAACCGGCTTTGCACATGCATGTCATTGATATGATTTTGCTTAAATCACCCAGACTCACCCCACCAATTATTTAATGTGGATCACTTTTTAAAACCGAATTTTGTAAACAGTAGGCAGTAAACTTGACGGAATTTGAAGGCATTAGAAACACGCTCACCTTCAACGAAATTTCTTTTCCGAGGCGTTGTGTCAGCCCAATCACATATTGTGCCAATACTTATAATTTTATCGTAATTTAAAAACTTGGAAATTGCACGGTACACTATAGGAACTATGATAAATTTTCCCTAATCAGCGTCATGTTTTTAGGCTCCTCCCATTTGACGGATCCCAATTAAGAAATTGACGTTACATCAAAGTTATCGTTACAACCGATGCTGTTATAGTCAAGCTCCACTGTAGTAACTACTAAAATAGCATGAAAAGAAATGAGTTTTTTTGCATCATATGAGGGGAGGCTGATAAATTCGCGGCCTGAGCTACTTATTATCTCGTTTCTGATAACACTAATGGTATGACTTATTGCTAGTATAAATAACACAGCTTTGCTTTATTAAGTTCATTAGCAGTTTATCCCTGGAACAAGCAACAATACTATATATGTCAACGGAAATGGAAAGTGCGTGTTGGATATCGCGAATGCTCACACCGCTGGATAAGCAGCGATGACTGGAGAGGTGCAAAGATTTTTGGTCTAGACCTGGCTCTCAGTGACTTTTCGTTTTTTCAAATTTAAAAGAGAAATTACGGGGACGAGGATTTTGAGAGGTTTTATATTTAAGATGTAAAAAGTGGATCTTACTTGATGGAAATTAAATTGAAATATAAATAATACAAAACTATACTTTTCATTCAGTAAGTATTTTAGGCTGCAAACTTATTAGCTGCCTCTCGTAGATATATAATTCGTATACATACAATATCTAAAAAGCAAACCTACATTTTGGACAGCGGGCCCTATGGATTCGTCATTGACCGATTTACGTTGTCCTTTTCTTTTAAGGAAGTTTCGAAATTAATAAAACAAAGATAAACTTAAATAATGTAAAATAAATTAAAAACTATTAATTATTATATTTTCGTTGGGTAAAGAAAAGGCGACTCTGATAAACCGTCTGGCCCTAGGCTCAGTTGCACCTTCTTGAGGAGTATGTAAGAGCAGATATTTTCTTGGACTGAACTTAAAAGTATGTATTTATTTATTTAAATCTATTTTACAAAATACTGCTAAAAATATTTGTACTGAGTAACGGCCAACTTATCTGGGGGCACCTGTCAAGACGAGCTAAGAGAAGCCCAAGGGCACTACCTACCTTTTCTAGAAACGCTTAGTGTTTTTTTAACCCTAATTACTTGGGTTTGGATTATACCAGATAAACAAAATTTTAGGGATATGATGTCAGAAGTGGACTTATTAAACATATAAAGTTTCAATTGCATAGCTATTATACTTTAAATTTTATTGATATCTAAAAAGTCCCGATTTCGTCACTGATTCACTAATGATCATTAAAATTCTTAGGGTACTCAATAACATCCTAGAAAACTGAAATTTGATATATAAGCTAGTATTAGTACAAGCAACAAAAAAAATTTAAACTTGGAACTTTTAGCCACCAACCCCTAAAACTAGGGAATGGAAGTTTGCATAAGACTTCCGCAAATTTTGATGCTAGAGGTATGAAGATTAATATAGGCATTCCTTGTTTTAAATAATAAAATACATATTTTAGGATTTTTAGTAAATCACCTCCCACCATTTTAATTAGGGTATTGAAGTTTGTTTGGAAGGAAACCCATACAAACTTAGTTACATGCTAGAAATCTGAATATTATACAAGAACACAGACTTCTTATTACAAATTAAAAAATACCTGTTTCAGGTTTTTGAATAAAATCAACCCCTTAAATTAGGGGAGAAAAATGCATATGGAGCTTTTGTCAGGTTTCAGAATATTACTACATTATTATTCTGATAATATACGAATAATATTACTATCCTTATGTACTTCGTTAAAAATGAAAATGTGAAAAATAAAAGAATATTGTCATAAGCAACTTACAAAAAGAAGTAAAATCCCACCAAAAATATTTTCATGTAAAATGTTGCTAAGACAAGGCCGTATGGCTAACACTGTCAAAAAGTCATCAGATCTAATGTAGCTTCTAACTCCACAAGCCATAACTTCACAAACTCTACACCTTAGCCAAAATATGTGGCTTAGTCGTATCGCTACCGTCACGTGGGCGTAAGATGCAAAATTTATTTATTGTTCATTACTTTTTTGTTATAAAATAATTTTTGTAGTAACGAAAAGGTCAAATTGTCAAAACAAGGAAACTGGCCAAATGCGAGTCAATATGTAAACAGTTCGATGTTTCCCGCTTTTTCAGAGTACCTTTTAAATTT